ATTGATGAGCACAAAGAAGTGGGGAGACTTTTCTTTAGAACTAGTAATCAAAGTTGAATGATTAGTCAAGCAGGATGAAGGACAAGAGTACTGAACAGAAAATCCACCTTCATCTATAGTTTTTCCAACGCATTACACTTGCCTTTCTCATGGTGGTAGAGTGTGTAATCTAAAATGTTTGTGGCTGGTGTTTCTACCAGGAAGATAAAATTAACACTGCATTTTGACTGCATATATAGGATAAAAGTACAGGTATGTTAAAAGTAGAAGAGGGAACACCCATAGATAAGCAAGGGTGAAATTTTTTAAACTGCTTCTTTTTTATGAACATGGTACATGAGTGACATTAAAAAAAAATAAAATCTATGTATTTCTATTTAAGTGACTTTCTCTGCTGCTGTCCAATCTTGCACCACAGTTAAGAGTGCTCAGAGGGTGGTGGAAACTGTCTGTTCTTCAACCTCCCTGCCAGGAAGCATGAGGAAATGATGTGTTTATGAGATAGTGATGCTTATTTGACTCATCCAAAAAGCCCAAGACACCCTCATTCCCCTGAGCTGAGGGAATGACACGAGCCCTTGCTAACAGAGCTCTTTGAATTGATGAGCATTTGTTATCTCACTCCTATGTGTACTGCACAATGGCAGGTAATACATATGTGCTTCTCTAACTTCAGCTACTGTTTTTTCCCCCAGTCTTTGCACATTATTACACATTTGTTGATCTCTGGAATTTACTGGCTTGCTTGCTGCATTCAAAAGAACAGCTATTCCTCAACTTCAATTAAAAATTTTATTTCCCTTGTGCTCCATAGACACTCTGTGTTTCTGAACACTGAGTAGCATCTTGAGCAAGGGTTGGACTTCTCTCAGCTGTCACTTAGTCTCTTGTAGCACTGGGAAAAGGAACCCTCCAGAACACAATTTATTTCCATCTTTTTGAGGCTGGTGAGGGAATGGTTCTTGCAGGAGTAGGAATTCACCCTGTGGTCCCTGGATCTGGAGTTCCTCTCTAGTTTGTGTACACTTCTTTGTCCAGTATCACATGTGGCTCTGGTGCTGGTGGTATTGGCATCAGCCTTTGAACCACTGCCACTCCCAGTAACCCTGAAGCCAAATACCCCTTTTGTAACAGCCAGCAGTAACCTGTGTCCTGCAGTTTGGGGTGTTCTACATTTGCATTTTAATTCAGCTTTTCAGTTTTTCTTTTACAAGGGTGCCCACCCTAAGAACCATGAAAAGGACTCTAGGGGATGATAATGTTTTTCTCATTTGTACGTGTTAAAAATAGAAAAATACACAGTTCAAAAAAGCCAACTCTCAGGTGTTTCAGCTGAGTCCATAAAGGCTGCCCATCAGGACCTTGTTCAGGTGCTGTAAAGTGATTTTGTCAGTTATGGATGACGTGGGAGCACTGCTGAGGCTCCTGACAAAGCAGGATTAATGACGTAGCCACACATTTATGACAGCAAGGTTCAACTTCAAGGTTATCTTCTTAAGTGAGGCAGAATCTTTCAGAGATTGCAGCAAGGCTTTAAGCTCTTTTCTAGTTCCTTAATTGGGGTAGAATTAGAGACTCTTGTTCTGAGAGTTTTTAAAATGTATTCCTAACACATCTGCCTCTCATCCCCAGAAGCATTTGAAAGATGTGGAGCTTAGGGACATGGCTGAGTGGTGGACTTGGCAATGTCCAAGTTACTTTAACAGTTGGACTTAATGATCTTGGAGGTCTTTTCCAAACTAAATAATTCTATGATTTCTATATGAGCCAAAGCCTGAGAACTCAAACAATCATCCTATTGTGATTGAAAGGAATTGCTTGGAGTCAAAGTGATAGCAGTAAAAATTAAAGGAGTGCATACAAAATGTGAGTTATAGTGACTGAAAAACCAAACACAACCATGTCACCAAAAACGGGGCACTTGCTTATTTCAGTGCATCTGAACCAGCTGGGATGAGGACAGGAATCCCTGAGGGAAGAGATCCTATAAAATTAAACATACATGTAAACATTAGTCATCCACTGTTGTTTGTGTGCAAGATAGGAGGAGGATTATTGGTTTGGTTCTTTAAACAATAAGGAAAAGCTGTAAAGGTACTGGAAAAGTGTAGACCTTTTTTCTTTCATCGTGAGTTAGATGTTTAATTTTCTTGTTTAAAAGTGCCAGTGTTGCAGTCCCTCTAGAAGGAGGAAGCAGCCATGCAGTGTTCCCAGTGGGTACATGAATGACCCTGTGGGAGATTCTTATGGCTCAATTATGGATCACTTTTCATAATCCTGATTTCAGCATGGAACACCCTGTGACTAGGATGGCTTCCTAGCTTTAAGGTCAGCAGCACAATGTCCTGTTTGGGGCAATGCATTGTATGGCATCATTTTGAGATACTATACCATTGAGATCTAAGTCACAAGTAGAAAGAGAACAGTCAAGAAATTTAATTTTGTCTGTTTTACAAATGCATTTGAAATTAAACAGATGTTTCAACACCTCATAGAAGCTGAATGATAAGAGCAGTCATGAGGAATAGGATGAGTGCTCAAGTGTTTACCTAAAGCAAGAGGCTGCCAGTTCTTCTTGTTTAGATTGGTCCCAGGCAAGACACCCAAACACTGATAGCTCCAGAAACTGAGAGAATTAAAATAAAATCCTGTACTTCATAAAATGTTGTTTCTCTCTAGCACCATTGAGATGTTCCTGTCAATAAAGGACTTCAGTTGCAATAACTCAAAGTGACATTATTGTTAAGTTTGTTGCTTTCAAACCATGGACAGAATCCTTTCAAGGTACTTGGTATGTTAAGGTAATAGGGCTATTTTAAAGGATTCTTGACTGAAGCCCACTTGCCCTGTGTTCTTTACATGCTCTTTACTCTGTCACCAGATATGACTGGTTTGAGTTCTTCACAAGAGTCTTCTGAAACAAGCCTCTGTTGTATGAAAGTGAAGGCTGAGAAAGCAAACAGCAAGCTTTTAGAAGATAAGAAGCATACCCAAACTGAAAGTTGCAAATTAAAGATTAAGTTATTTCTAACAGCATCCGTTTTAGAGTTCTGTACTTTCTCTGCTGCTATATTTTCCTGTTATTACTTGAGCTTTAAGTCAGCGATTTATCCATCAAAACAAACTGTCTAGTTCATGAACAAACTGTCTAGCTTGCAAAGGAGCTGGAGCCAATTCCCACTAGAGCCAGTGGAAAAGTTTTCATTGAGTTCAGTGGATTTGGTATCTGGCAACCTTTGATGTGAATAAAAGAGAATCAAGATTTGTGACAGGACATGTGAAGAGAAATTTTAAAAATTGCAGAATACTTTTTTCCTGGGTGGGAAAATTTCAACATAACTATCAAGATTCCTCCCCCACCTCCCCCCCACTTGCATAATGTCATTTTGATAATCAATTTTCTTTTGATACCTTCCTGAGACTAGTGTATAATGACTGCTCTTTGAGGAGGAGCACACCTGCCAACCAGGTTCTTTAAAACATTTAATTAAAACTTGGTATAGTACATTTTCCAATCTTTTTACTGTAGTTTAGAGCAGTGTGCACTTCACTGCTATGTGCTTCCATTTATCTGGGCAAGCTTAACAGCACTGTCACAACAGCACTAAATCAGACAAATGGAAGATCACATTTTGTCAGCCTAATGTCTGTCTGTGTGGAAGCTGGTGTTTTTCTTGTATTGCCACGTGAAACTCATGAAACAACTTCCAGTTTCCTCTTTTGGGTTGTTAACATCAAGTTTGTACTTTTTGCAGAATTTATTTTGCTTAACATTGTGTAAATGTAGATTTGTACAATATATCTAAAGAGTAAAACATCAGTCCTGGGATTTCCCAGTGCCAAATGCAACTGGCCTGTTGGTATAACAGGACTTTTAATATAAATCTATTGATGGTTAGTATTCATTACTTCTCTTGTAATTAAGGTAAATAACAAACCTCTCAAATGGAAGCAGCAAGTCAACACTATAAAATCTAAGTTCAAATGTGAGCTAAATCCCCAAAGATTGTAGCCCTGTGGTGGCTCCTTTCTGAGGAGCGTTCCTACAAGGACTTGTGCCATCAGAATATGTTTTGGGACACTCTGAGGATCCCAAGGGCAGCTGTGAGGCAGTGCTACAAGGAGGGGGATAAAGGTGTTGGGGTTTTATTGCTCTGCTGCTGCCACTCCTTCAGCTGATGTTGTTCAGATGCTGTCAGGATCTAATTGTAGAGAAATGTAGTTTGTTTCAAAGATTATTTAGCATAATCTTTAGTTAAGGTTAGAGTGCTGGGGGTTACACATCTCACGTAAGTATCACACAGCTCTAGGAAGAACAGAAGAGTGCTCACTGCTTTACTTTCCAATAGTGTGAGACCTCATCCATCTCTGGTGATTAATTCAAATAAAATGCTTGTGTCCTCATGTGGCATCTTGTCCTGGTTTCTATTCAAGCATTTCCTTCAGAGAGGTGGATCTAAGTTTGGTCCTTTCCTTTGTGTAGTTTCAGTTTCCCAACTTGCAGTGCTGTTTTGTGAAATATTTTCCAAGTCATTAAACTTTGAAATGTTTAATATTTAAAATGTTTAAGTGTTTTAAAAACAAATTTTACTTCTTACTAAGCAGTGCAGTGCTGAAATGCATTTAAATAGTTTTGCTATTGAAAGGAATACCATGATTTAGGGCAGCATCTCTTAATTATGTTCTAACAAAGTCTTGTGAAGAGGCAGAGCTAGTGGCAACAAAAGTCTGCAATTAAGGCTGGCTATGTTGCCTGAAATACAAGATAATTGTCCAGGCAAGATCTTTGGAATGGATTCAGAGGCTGCAGTTGCCAATGCTCTCTCTAGGTGTTTGGCACATGCAGCGGAGAGGAGAACTCCTCAGGAATGTGTTTATTCCATGTATGGCCCACTGTAGAGCTAAGCCTCAGAGCTGAATGTTTTGTTCTGCGAAGTTTCATGGCCTCATCTGGTTTGTGTTTTTTGGTTTTTTTTTCATCTTCCCCTTCTTACAGGCTCTCAATCTGGTGTAAAGCTGATGGGTGGGAGCAAAGGTAAAGAATGATGTAATGCAGCAGCAGCCAGAAAGCATCTTTTGTGTGAATTGTGCAATGGCCACTCCGTAGTCGTGTCCCGATGAATCAGACGTGAGGGGCGCTTTGTGGAGCCAACCCTTTGTACATCGGCCGGGAGCAGGAGACGACGCTCGGTCCAACAGCTCTCTCTGAAAATGGATTTAACTTTTCTTTTGCCAGTCACTACCAGCATGACCTCATACACTTCTAGCACAATGGTGTGGCTAAGCCTTTGAGTACACAGCCATTACATCATCGCAGCAAATTAGAGAGGGCGGTGGGGAAAGAGGCCTCGCTGTTGTCATGGCCCATGAGATGATCAGGACCCAGCTCATTGTCCCCGAGAAGTTGGTGGCTTTGCTGGAGAGTGGGACAGAGAAGCTGCTGCTGATTGACAGCCGCCCCTTTGTGGAGTACAACACCTCCCACATCCTGGATGCCATCAACATCAACTGCTCCAAGCTCATGAAGCGCAGGCTGCAGCAGGACAAAGTTTTGATCACAGAGCTCATTCAGCACTCAGCAAAACACAAGGTAGGGGTCATTTTCCTCCTGTTCCTTGTATTTCTTTAAAGGAGTGGCTGGAAAGAAACTTGTAATGATTTTTCCTTCAGTATTTAATTAAATAATAATAAAAAACCAAACCAACAACCAAAGCCTGACAAGATTAGAGGACTGAGATGTTACCTGATCAAAGAGGGTATTGGTTACTATTGAGTTTATCCTTAGATTCTTTGTAGAATCAGTGACAAAGGGAAGGGATTTAGAAATTACTCAGGAAAAAATGTTCTCAGGATTCTTGTGTGTCTTGCAAAGCACGGTCCCTCAAATTTATATAATTAAGGCAGGAAACAGTCTCCCCTAAACTTTGAACGATTCTTGGGGGTCTGTGGTGGTGGGGCTTGCTTAGCAAGTGGTCATTTGGTTTGCAAAGAAACTGCCTCTCTGTCAGTCCTGGCTCCTACTTGCTGTTTAAAGGGCATTTCATGGGGTAGTTTGATGAATGTTGGTGTTTGTTTTGTTGTTTGTTTATTTGGGAGGAGGGGTGTGGTTTTCTCCAAATAGTGTTATCAGTGAAAAGAAAATAGCTATGCTGTTTAAAATTAATATGTGTGTGTGTGTCTGTGGGGGGGATATTGGGGTTTTTATCCATTGATATTTGTTTCACATGTTTTGGGTACAAAAATAATCTACTATGTTGTTGCTTTGACATGTTAAAAATGAAGCTTTTTATTTTATATATAAAGTTGTGCAGGTAACCAAAATGTGCGCGGCTTAGAGGCAGTTTAAGGTCTCTTTACTGTTTATGTAGAAAACTCTCAGAAGCAGAAAGTGAGGCAGGGCCACCTTCTCAAAAGCTCAGCTTTTAAACAAATTCACCAGCAGAAAGTGAGGCAGGGCCACCTTCTCAAAAGCTCAGCTTTTAAACAAATTCACCATCCTGGCTGAAGGTAGAGCAATTCACAAGTGACATAAAATTACCAAATGATAGAAATTTGTGTAGTGGGCTTCAACTTGCAGCAAATAATCAATTTACAAACTCTCCATGGAATTAAATCTGTGAGGCTTATGAAGTATAAAATAAAAACTGTTTAGTGAACAAGTGCATAAGAAATCTATATATCTGAACTGCTCTTATAGCAAATATGTAGGAACCCTGATGGAGGTGATAATGTGGGGCTTTTAATCATCTTCCTCCTTCCTGTTTTACTCTGAGTTCCTTGTGTTTCAGATTGAAATTGATTGCAAGCAGGAAGTGGTGGTGTATGACCAAAGTTCTAAAGATGTGACCTCTCTCTCATCTGACTGTTTTCTTACTGTGCTCCTGGGCAAACTGGAGAAGAACTTCAGCTCTGTGCATCTGCTTTCAGGTAAGATGTAACAAAAAAGAAACCCCTTTCAGGTGACATGTACCAAAAGAAACCTCTGAAACACTTGAATAAAGAGAAAAAAGAAAATGCTGTTGGTATAGCAGACCTGTACAGTTTTGCAAGTGCAGGTATAAACTTCAGTTACAGCAGAGACTTTTCTGTAGTTCTTTTTGCATATAGTGACACTCAGAATACATGCAGTATTTAGAAATTGCATCTTACAGGGGATATATTACACGATTAGTCTGTGTAAATGGAAATGGAGCAACGCAGAGGTTTTTAGAGGCATATGTCTTCTACTTTAGGGTCAAAAAATAGCAAAAAAATGGGCTTCCCTGTTTTATTAAGTATTGTACATGGTAGGAAGAAAATCTCTTCCTTACTGAATTGGTAATTGCTAAAATAAGAACAAAGGAAATTATCTTCCAGAGTTACTGAGATTAGTTTGTGTGACATTTTAAACTTCAGCTCCCTAAGTGGTAGAACTTTATTTAGGTCTTTTCCTTCACTCTCCTTCTTTTTTTTTTTTTTTTTCTGTTTTTGTTTTTTATTTTACATCCCAGGTCAAAGAATCTATAGTAATTCAGTTCCTTATAACACAGGATTTGCTGCTCTGAGCATGTGTTAGTGCCATTATTTCAGTCATGGAACAGCAGAAAGTGTTCACAAGAAGGAGCAAGGAGGGGCTTGAAGTAGATCCAAGGCTGAAAGGAGGGAATGACAAATTTAAGTAGGAAATCCATTGCAGTGAGTGGATCAGTGATCTAATGAGGTGTACACCTTGTGTCTGAGAAATGCTGAAACACAAGCACTGAATAATGGTGGGAGAAAGGAAATAACTCCCGAGAGATCCTTCCTCTAAGCAACAGGGTTTCACTACAGTTTGTAGTGACTTCACATGACAGTGTGAGAGGTTGTGGTACTGAGAGAGAACTTTTCTCAACTTGTTTTGAAAGTGATTGCAGAGAAAATGAATGATTTCTGCACTTGGACATGAGTTTGGTGCTCCTGTGAGCTTTACTTACAGTAAGCCAAGTGGGTTTTGCTTTGGCTAGGGTTGGTGATTTTGTTTTCTTTGCTGTCTAGGTAAGAATTACACCTGTGGGTGGTGGATTACAGTATTAGATTAGGTAACTCTTCTTACATATGAGCTACCAAGAATTGTGTGGTGTGTAGGCACAGTAAATGCTTAATGCAAAAGTGCTCAAAGAAGTGGGTAATACTCTCTTAAACTGAAAACTGGTATTTGAAAAAGAAACCAGTCTAGAAACAGTATCTCCTCAGAAATCCTTTTCTCGTTCAAATTCTCAACTCTGCTCAGCTGTCCTGAGGGTTTTTCAATAACCTGAAGCAGATTACAGCTCCAGGGAGGAATCAGACTGTCCTCAATTTAATTTCCAAGACAGAAACACCTCTCTTGCAACTGAGAATTAGACCTCATGGCAGGGATGTGTTGGGGAGGGGCCAAGCACAGGAAAGTGTCAAGAACTTCCCTTCCTCACTTGTGTGAGACATGTCTTTGATCTTGTGGCTCATCTGCTGGACCCTGTGAAAGAAGTGCTCAGAGTCTCCTCTCTCAGACTGGCCTGTGGCTCTCCTAGGAATGCCCAGAACCAGGAAGGGAAGCTGTTTCCAGCTGTTCCCAGCTTCCCAGTGCATCATCTGGCCAATCACCACTTGCATGTATCATAATGATACTGGGAGAAATGGTTCTCTTTTCATTTCCAGCATGTGGGTGTTTTCTGTTCAAGATGAAAATGTTCCTAAGCTACAAGCAGGATGGTTGTGCACATGAGCTGGGGTGAACTTAGCCACACACAGCTGGTAAGGGTTAGTTTGGGAATCTAAAGTGTCAAAATCCTCCTCATAAAAAGCAGGACTTTTACTTTAGTGTGTCAAATGGCAAACATCAGGTTTGAGAATTTCCTCTTATGTTTGTTTACATAAGAAGAAATTTGTTTATTTTTTGTATATTTGTTTATATATTTGTTAAATTTTGTTTATAGCTAGGATGGGGATATTTATGAATGCAAAAACAAGTGATAGCTTTAAAACCAGTGGAAGAGGAGGACAAGAAAAAAAGGGAAATATAAGGAAATTATTTACTACTGATCTATTACAGTTCAGTGTTTATTTCATGTACTTTTTTTACATCTGTTAAAAATCTAGCTACTCAATGCATACACAAGAAACCTTTTAGGATGTGAGGTGAAGGAGAATTGGGTAAATTCAGTCTTGCAGAAAGCTCCTTGGAGTTTATTGATATGTGGCTGTAGGAAACTAGATAAAATATGTTGTCTCAGCAAGCTGATGACGAAATCTAATAAATGTTTATAGCCCATAATGAGGGCAGGGGTCAGTGTACTGTGTAAAAAGAAGAACCTTTGGACTTGAGTTTTCCATATGCCACTAAATCTGGTTTATTTAAAACAGTGACCTTAAACATTTTGGGGTAGGAAAATATTTTTTGTTGGGATGGAATAAGGAGTATTTAACAAATATCTGAAATTCCTGCCTCTGTTCTTGTTGAAACCCCCCATTACTGAGCACTCAGTAAAGTGGTTTTTTATTTAGGTTGTTCATAAAGGCGTGCTCTGCCCTGGAGGTTGTTTTTGATTGAAGTAATTATTGTAAAGACCTCAAAGGAACCCTTACCAATTAGTTTAAGATCTTGATATAACCTCATAAAAATACTCATAATTTGGTGAGGAATGTTTTCAGGAATTAAATATTCCATGTGGTACTTAATTTTTAACAGAGCACAGAATACTGATATGTTGGCACCAAGGGCTTAATTCATTCCCATCATGGCATCTTCTACTCTGACTTAAGTAAGACTTAAACACAGAGATGTCCTCTGATTCCTTCTCATAGTTTGAGAATTGGATTTGCAATGTAGTCCTTTCCCTAGTTAGTCGTGTTATGATTTTCCTGCTTGCTCTGCAGAAACAGTTAGGAGAGACTAGTGATTTTTGCTTGAATGATCATCATTAAGGCAGTAAACATCAAGAGTCTTGATTAAATTCTATTTCACTTTGTGAATGGAAGCATTCATATTCTACTTGCCTTAAATACTTGTTCTCCCCTGCTTTTAATCTGGCTTAGTTCTACTCATTCAAGCACAGATGTCTTCAGACAGTTACCTTTCAAATGTTTCCTGTGAAGAAGGTGAAGCACAGCTTTTTATTTTGTGTTGACTTTTTAAAAACTTTTTTTGGTCTGTGTTGAGAACACTTTGTCTAAATGGAAGGCATCCTAAAAGACAGGAAAGAAACCTAAACAAAACCCTTCTATATGTACAAAGTGTCATTAAAAACTGTGATAGCCTAACACTGAAACACTGTGTGCCTTCCTCTCAAAGCAATGGTTGGTGGGGACTTGCCTTCTAATCTCTTGTTACACTTCTGCCTATGAAAAATATCAGCAGTAATGGGATGTAGTGGATTCTTCCTAGGAGAAGGAGTAATAAGGAGAAATAAATAAGTTATTGGTTTTTTATTCAGTGACAAATGTTGGGGTCATATGCATGCACAGTGAAGGGCACCCTAGGCAGAATGAGTTCAGTGAGATTGGACAAAGGTCCTGGAAACAAAGCAGTGAGTGATTACCCAGGGAGTGTGGCAAAAGGTATGTTTTTGTTGAAACTTCCCGATTCCTTGTTTTCCCCAACCTGTCCCTCACCTGACAAGGTGTGTATACCAAATGGAAGACTGGCATGGAAGATATGAGGAGAAGGAAGCAAGTCAGGAACTCTACTTCAGTCTTCTTTACCCTGCTGTTCATTTTAGAAATATTTGAAATTGGAAGCCCATTTAAAGAAATCTTTAGTGTAAAAATACTAAAGCATCTCTAGGGTATATTCACCATTGTGCTGTCTTACTTGCCTAAAGAAAAGCCTAGATAAGAGAAGCCCAGTGCTTTCTCCCTGCTTTATCTCCAAGGAAGAATTCCCTGTGGCAGGGGAGCAGGAAATCTGAAGAATATTCTCTTGTAGGTAGGGCTGGTCATTTCCATGTGCTGAAGGGACCAGGGCTGTGACACAGGGCTTTATTCCCAGTTTCTGCAGTCCCCTATGGCAAGTAAGGGAGTGCCATGTGGTTCAGTGTGGACTGAAAGAAGGCAAAAGGTTCTGGCAAACATCCTGACACCTTTTAAACATTTGGATTTTGAGCTTTATAACTTTCAGTTATGGCTTACTGATGTTCTGAGTGTTTCCTACATAGAAGTCTTTGTAGAGTACCCCAGCACACCTTAAAATGGTGATGGTCATCAATTACAACAATCAGTTTATCTGTTTAGTGTGAAGTTAAAAGAAAGTTTAGTGTGAATGAGCTGTTAAATATCCTGCCAATATTCTATTTGGAGGAGAAGAAATTGTTGCACAATGATGCCAGCTTTTCTGGCATTCTGACTGGTTGATTCCATCAGAAGGAAGCCTCTATTGAGAAAGGTAAAATCTTGCTGAGGGAATGCAATATTCCCAAGTGGTCCCATAACCCATGGAGTACAGCCAGTGTTGGCAGGGAGGAGGTGAGAGTGAGAGAGGAGCTTCGTTCTGAATCACCCCTTTGAAAAGTTTCCCTCTCCATCAGTTTTTAAGAGAGCCTAGAAAAGCAAGTACCCTTGGCTACAGTCAGGCCTCTGACTATCCTCCCACCCTCTGTACTTAAAATGCAATTTTCAGTGTTCATTTAGTGCCATAATTGTTTTAAGCACTTGAAGAATGGGAGTAGGGTTTATTACTTTCATATGTGTGTCCTGTCTTTTGAGAGAGAACAAGATTTGACTAAAGTAGAGCTCACATAACATTTCTCAAACCCAAGAATAACTTGTTAAGTTTGCTTTTGTTTTGGATACCTCTGGATGCCTGTGAAATTTAATTGACTGAAATTATGGTGAAGGTTTTTTTGGTTTTTTTTCCCCTTAAAGGCAGAAAAGGCGAGTGAGGGGCTCCACTCTGCTCTTTGTACTTGCCATGCCACATGGAATATGGCACTTGG